TCCTCAATTTATGGCCACAACGGAGACCAGAATTTCCATTGCTGAGCAAGATGGTTGTTAAGTGAGCCACACCCAATTTTTACGACCTCCTCTCCATGCTTTTTAAATGAATGACTGTTGTTAAGTGAATCCAGCTTCCCCCAATGCCTTTCTTTTTCGGTCCCAAATGGCGATCACATGACCTGGGACTCTGCAACTGTCATTAACCCATGCCAGTTGCCAACTGCCTGAATTTTGGTCATGTGTCGATCGTAAGCGCAAGAACCAGTCACAAGTCACATTGCCGTTCTAACTTTGAATGGCTACTAAATTAATGGTTGTAAGTTAAGGACTGCCTGTGCAATACAGCCAGTCCTCGATTTACAACAGTACACTTGTAAATGTACTATTCGAAGTTACAAAGGCACTGAAAACAATGGCTAATGGCCATTTTTCACACTTAATGACCATTGCAGCATTCCCAAGGTCACAACGATTTACACTCAGATGCTTGACAACTGGTTCATATTTATGATGGTTCCAGTGTCCCGAGGTCATACAATCCCTTTTTGCAACCTTCTGACAAGCAAAGCCAAGGGGGAAGCTATATATAGTTATAGATATATATATATCTTTTCCTGTGTAAGATTGAGAGTATCTTGGCAACATTTCGACGAGGTCCCACTCGCCAGCATTGGCTGGTGCTTTCGGCTTCGTGCTTGTGCAAGCAAAGCATGATTGAAGCTGCCGTCTCCCTATATATACTGGTGGGGAGATTGGCTGTGTTGTCATTTCTTGATTGGTTGATGGAGTTGATGTTTGCAGATTGGCTGGCTTTTTTGTAAGAACATGTGTGGCTGAGGTATTGGCTGTGTGTCTATCAGCCTCCTGTGTTGTAACGACCTGGGTAATGGGCTGTGTGATGACCTTCTGAGTTCTATTGTTTTGACATTCTGGGTCTTCTGCTGTAATGTCCTGGGTCATTGGCTGTGTTGTGACATCCTGAGGTTTTGTGGTGTAACCTCCTGAGTTCCGTGATGTGATATCCTGAGTGGGTGGCTGTGATGTGACGTTCTGGGTTTTGGTTTGGCTCCGAGTTTGAGGCCTGGCTATGTGTTCATGGCATGTGTCAGCTTGCTTGGTTTGGGGGTCAGGGTGTATGGCAGCTGGTGATGCATCCGTGGTCTGGTTTCTGGATAGTGGTTGCCTTTCGTCTATGGGGTGGGTTTGGGTTTGGGTCTGGTGAGGGAGATTGGTGGTGGCATCATGTGTTGTTTTGGGTCCGGTGTTGGTTTTCGTGGCTGGGACTCGTTTGTTGATAAGGGCTAGTTTCCAGATGTCTGGTAGGCGGGAGGTATCGTCCCGTTTATTCATGTTATAGGGGTGTTTCTCTATTTCGACGGCTTCCCTGATTATTCTCTTGTTGAAGTGTTCAGTATTGGAGATTAATTTGGTTCCCTCAAAATTAATTTCATGTCCTGTGGCTTTAAGGTGCTGGAAAAGGGAGGAAATATTTTCTTCTTTTCTGATTGCGTTCTTGTGTTCTGCGATGTGTGCATTTATTCTCCTGTTGGTTTGTCCAATGTATGTGGCTGGGCAATTGTTGCATGGTATTTCATAAACTCCTTGGTTTTCTAGCTGGATCTTGTCTTTGGGGTTTCTTAGGATGTTGGCTATTTTTTGGTCAGTGCCAAAGGCTGTCCTGATATTGTGCCTATGGAGAATTTTGCTGATTTTATCTGTGGTGCCTCTGATGTAGGGGAGGAGGGCGATACCATTGTCCTGTTCTGTGTCTCGGTTTCTGGGGGGTGTCTCCTTTAGGATTAGATTGGTAATTGTGTTTCTTTGGAATCCGTTGGAAATTAATACGTCAGTGAGGGTGTGTAATTCTGTTCTCAGGTGGTCTTTGTCAGCTAGGCGTTTGGTTCTGGAGATGATGGTCTTGGCTGTGGAGTTGATCTGTACAGGTGGTAATGGGATTGTGTGTTTAAGTAGCGGTTGGTGTGTGTTTTCTTCCGGTTGATGGTGTGTCCTAGGAAGCTATTGGGTTTTTTGTAAATTAGAGCATCCAGGAAGGGAAGTTGGTTGTTGGCTTCTGTTTCCATGGTAAATTGAATTTTGGGGTGTAGGCTGTTGAGGTGTGTGAGGAAGTTATCCAGTTTTTCTTTCCCGTGTGGCCAAATTACGAAAGTGTCATCTACATATCTAAGCCAGAGTTTGGGTTTGTGTTCGGATTTGTCTAGAGCATTGGTTTCAAAGTGTTCCATGTATAGGTTAGCGATAACGGGTGAGACGGGTGCTCCTTCTATCTGTTTGTATCTTTGTCCATTGTGGATGAAGTATGTGTTGGTTAGGCAGTGGTTGGTCAGATCTAGGATGTGCTGGGGGGGGGGGGGTTGTATTTGTTTTGGATGGCTGTCAAGGCTTCTTTAATAGGTACTTGGGTGAAGAGGGAGCACCTATGGGATCACCATATATATATGATGCCTGTAGACCTGATGATCTTTTCTTGCTATCTCCAACTTTGTGGCGCTAGAATTGTGAGTGGGTAGTAGCAGGGAAAGGGTGAGGACTTGGGGTCATTCCAAAATAAAGCCTTTGTGTAATAAAAAACTTGTCTTCCTTTACCGAGCCCCCTCTTTACTAACATACATGTCCTATTTTTGTCATGCAGCTTCCCCATTTTGGGGGTTTTGCTGAAGTGGGTCAGGACCCAGTAGGGATATTCACAGACTCTAATCAATCTTTCAGAAAGTGCTTTGTTATTGAGCCATGGAGTGATTTTTCTCAGCTTTAGGAGTCTTGCATGTGCTCTATAATTCTCTGGGACCTAATTCTCCTGAACAATTGAGTAATGACTCAGATATGGGAACTCTGCTCCCTTTCTCCTCTTCTCCATTTTTTTCTGCAGTTTTTTTGCTTCATTTTTGGAAGATTCTGTGCTCGCCCCAAATAACCCAGACCCAATAAATTGCAGTTCAGATATTCTCTTTAGAATAAAGAGCTATAGCACAGAATGAAATTGGAGTGAAGAGATTTGAATTTGGGTCCTGCTGAGATATAAAAGAAATTGCTTGGTATTTTGACAACTGTTAATATAACAAGTGTCTATTATATATTTCAACCTATCCTCCATTATCTCAACAGTAATTTTAGGAATTATATTTATTTGTCGTATTTATATAACTGTCCATCTCACAGATGTGACTCCGGGTGGCATACAACAAAAAATAACCATAAAGAAACAGCCATGAAAACATTCCACAGCAAAAATACCCATATTGTTAAGCATGACTAAAAGAGAGTGTTGCATATCCCACTGGAACAATTTTCCATATCCTTGAAATCCCCAAGTCTGTTGACACAGCCATGTTTTGAGGTACTTCAGTACTCATTGTTAATTGGTTCCGAGAGTGATGAATACCAAAAACAATGAGTTACCAAACCCATTTTTCTCATAAGGACTAATATAGTGAACCACAGGACAGCTGATACTGACAAATTCTAGTTTGTGCATTGAGTAGCAAACAAATGATGTGTACTGGGACAAAAATTTTGTGTCAAAATGCAATGGGTACCACATTTGATGAGTTTCAAAGCATTTGAGTACCAAGGGACCAAGGATGGGGCCAATCTTACCTCAGAAGGAATGATGTTTCCACAACAGAAAAAGCCCAAATCTTGGGTCCCGCTAACTGACACACAACACCCTCTTCTGATGGACCTGCAATACATTCACCTTTGCTTTTTTTCCTTTTGTTTGTTTGTTTATTACCCCACCTTCATTATTTTTACAAATGTCTCGTGGCATTGAACTTATCTAACACGCTTTCCTCCTCCTGTTTTCCTCACAACAACAATGACCCTGTGAGTCTGCAAGGGAGGGACTGGCTCAAAATCACCCAGTTGGCTATATTGGGAAGTGAGTGATAGGAGAAGGACCATGCACAAGTGACAGGTATTTAAGTTGCAAACATGACAGACATATTCAAGGTCGGCGTCTAGATCAAGGCTGCCAAACTCGTGGCCCACGGGCCAGATGTGTCACGCGCTGGCCACATCCATGCCCGGTTTAACGAAGGGGAAAAAAGTTGTGATACGTCACGTGACGACACCGTGACGACGCGAGTTTGACATCCCTGGTCTAGATTATCTTAAAATAAGGAAAAGACTAGGCCAAAAACTCCTAAAGAGAGGGGGATTGATGAAAAAAGGGTATTGGAAAGACTAGGAAGACATGAAGATCATTTATGGCCAGCAGATCCTCCCCAAATCTATTTCAGTTTCTAAGAATTCAGTAAAAGTGGGCTTTCTTTATGCTACAGAGTATTGTTTGAGATGTTTTCAAGAAGCAGAACTGATGCCTTTTCAACTTTAACTCTTGTGGATAATTAAATCCACACAGATCCTGCTATACTTCATCAGGAAGCGGCTTTTCTCTCATAATTTGCATTAGGACCTAATGAGTGGGCAGTCCTTGTTGATTATGGACGTGGTTTTTGGCAAATCTGTTCTGGATTTTCACAAAGAGAAAGGATGCCCTTAAAATCTAGAACACGGGAGCGAGGAAGCCAGCGTGGTTTTGTGGTAAAGGGGTTGGACTAGAAGTCCTTCCTTGAAGACTTCGAGCTACTCACTCTCTGTCAAAGGGCTAATCACTCTCTCTCATATCAATCTACCTTTCAGAGATGCCGTTGAGAAAAACAGGTCTTGCACTTAGATAGGAACGCATGCCAAGCGAAAAGATTAAATGTCACTAAAGACTAGAACCTCTGAAAAGGAAAAGATAGAATCGGTGAAAGTTGCTCTTGGGAATTTGGTTTTGTGGAAGTTGAGATGTTGCTACCGAAGCCAAGATGTTCAAAGAAACAAATCGGGTTAGCAGGTGATAGGTTTAGATTAAATGTTTTTTTGAAACCAAATCTTGAACAGGGTTGGATGCATCTCCCAATGGACTCCTATTGCTTCATGTTTTCTGTTTTCTTTCTCTCTCCCTCTCCCATTCTCCCCTCCCCGCCCAGAACTGGGACCTTGTACAGCAGACACAAAACTACCTGAAGCTTCTGATCTCCATTATCAATAGTGATGGTGAGGTTTTCTTTTTTTCTTTTTTTTCCCCCCTTCTGGTGAATTTGTGATTTGGGGGATTTTCGTAACTAACTTGTAATTTTTAGCGATCGTTAAAAAATAATAATAATTAAGGAGATATAATTAGGCAAAAATTGGGAAACCAACTGTGAAACCAATAGATTTGATTTAATAGAGGATATCTTTGCCATATTTGACCAGTGTATTGGTACCTGGGGGAGATGGCCCCTTCTCTTTGTTTCTGTCAAAAAACTCTTTATTACCTTGATCGCTTTTCTACAGTCCTAGGATTCTTCATGGCTAACTGAACCGCCAGGAAAACTCTGATTTTGTTTGAGTTCTCTATCCTTTACTTACAATCTACGCCACACAGATCAGGGCAGTATTTATTCTATTTTTTAAAAAAAAAAACCAGTAACAACAGCAACAACAATAACAACATTTGGCTTATAGGAAGTCCTTGACTTATACCCACAATTGGGGCCAGAATTCGCATTGCTAAGCAATGTGGTCATTAAGTGAGTCATGCCTGATTTTATGCCCTTTTTTGGCCACCATCATTAAGTGAATCACCATGGCCATTAAGGGAATCCAGCCTCTCCCACTGACTTTGCTTATTGGAAGGTGGGTGGGAAGATCGCAAATGGAGATCATGCGACTTCAGGATGCTGCCACCGTTGTAAGTACATGACAGGTGTCAAAAGCCTGAATCTTGATTACGTGACACTACCATGGTCATGAGTGTGAAGATCAGATGTAAGTAACTTTTTTTCAGCGCCCTTACAACTTTGGTCACTAAATGAGTGGTTGTAAGTAGAGAACTGTGTGTGCAAGTAAGAGATATTTGGCTGACTGAGGAATTCTGGGAGTTGAAGTCCACAAGTCTTAAGCTTGCCAAGGATGGAGACCCCTACATCGGCCACTTCATTCTGTGATTGATTCAGTCAGTCCTTGGGTCTCAAGAATTGATTGACTGATAAGCTCATTTCCAAAAACAAAACAAAACAGGAAGGAAGGAAGGAATATGGCACTTGGGCATAGTATCTTAAAATCTTTAAAACAATATCTTAACATGCTTGCGTAGTGTATTGAAATGCAGAAAAGTTTAATTCTTTGGGAGAACCTGATAGATTTGGGTTTTGATAGAAGAGAAGGGTAGAAAGGAATTCCGAAAAACTATAGGAGTGTTACAGCTGAACCTAAGGGGAAGGACATGCGGCAGTGGGTTTGGATGTGACAAAATGGAAGATCCATTGTAGGCCTTTGCTATTCCTTATTCACTTCCATATGGGAAGAAGACATGAAAACACCCCTTATAATGCCTTGAGTAAGACCACACTTGGAATACTGCATCCAGTTTTGGTCGCCACGATGTAAAGAAGATGTCAGTGCAGAGAAGAGCAACAAAGATGTTTTAGGGGACTGGAGGCTAAAACATGTAAAGAACGGTTGCTGGAATTGGGTATGTCTAGTTTAATGAAAAGAAGGAGCAGTGTTCCAATATCTCAGGGGCTGCCACAAAGAAGAGGGAGTCAAGCTATTCTCCAAAGCACCTGAAGGCAGGACAAGAAGGAATGGATGGAAACTAATGGATGGAGAGAAGCAACCTAGAACTAAGGAGAAATTTCCTGACAGAACAATTAATCAGTGGAGCAACTTGCCTCCAGAAGTTGTGAATGCTCCAACACTGGAAGTTTTTAAGAAGAGATTGGGCAGCCATTTGTCTGAAGTGGTATGGGGTTTCCTGCCTAAGCAGGGGGTTGGGCTAGAAGACCTCCAAGGTCCCTTCCAACTCTGTTGTTCTATTCTATTCTATGCCACGCCACGCCATTTTATGTTATTCTGCTTAAATGAACCCCTCTTTGCACACTTTTATGCAATTGATACCGCAGCTAGCCTTCCCCCCTGGGTGATTTCTAATATCCCCCTTATCTGTTGTCCTCCGGCCTGCTGTTGCTCTTACCTCCCCTGTCTGGCAGGGTGTGGAGAAGGCTCTGTCTTCTGCAGCTGGCCTAGCATATGCCACGTTATCCCCCGGAGACCGCTGGAGGCCCAGGGACAGTGGGAGGCTTTTCATCCAGAATGCCATACAAGTAACTCAGTTTTTTCCCCCCTCCGCTGTTGCTTTCCCTTCCTGCCGGCTTTGCACAGATGACGGTGGGCTCCTGGTTCATTGTATATCCGGATGGGACAGGACGCCGCTTTTCATCTCTCTCCTGCGTCTCTCCCTGTGGGCTGTGAGTACCAATAAGCACATTCCTGTATCTGTAGCCGGCATGAATGGTGTAGCCAAGATTTGGCAGAGTAGTGATGCTGGTGAAAGTGAACATTTATATGGTTGGTGAGCGCAAGGCCCCTACGGTTTTGTGGTCTGCCTTTTAAAAGTGCCCGACTCTGCTGGAAGGAAACACAAGGTTGTTATATAAAAGATAGGGGTTTTATGGTCACTTGGGGGTTAATTTGGGAACTCAGACCGTTCAAATTTTATCCCTGTCCATCACAATTTCTCCGAGGAGAAGTTGCTATTTTATTTGCATTCTGCAATACCAGCGAACCAATTGGGCTCACGTAAATGAAATTTTCACGGATCTTTTCCATTTGTATAATTTAACTTTTGTGTGGTGGTGGTGGGGAAACAACCCAAAGAAGACTGAAATGTTGAGTCAAGAGGCCATCCTGAGGAAAAGGCAGAAAAGATGTAGGGAAAGGGCTTCTTAATGCTACCACTCTGAATCTATAACAAACTTCGAGCTTCTTTTTGAAATAAAACATTAAGCTCGGGAAATCCCAGGGTTGAGACTGTGTGCTGCTGTGCAGGTTCTTGCAGAAGGCACAGCACTAGAGAGAATCTTGAAGGAGGGATGGCTTCTTAAATGGGGTTTCTTGGTCTGTTTGTGTAAGAAACTTTCCTAGTACACAAAGATCCTAAGTCATTTTGGTGTTTTGATGTATACAAAGGAGGGAAGCACAGAGCAGGGAATCGTTATAATGTTTACTGTATTCTCAGTCTTTCTTTTCTTAGGATGGGCTGATCCACACATCCCTGGAACCTGCAGAGATTCTTTACCTGACCGTGGCTTATGATTGGTTCCTCTTCGGGTAGGCATGGCTGGGCTTAGGCAGTCATGGTGATGGGGAATAGCATAGGCTTTGATAAGCCTGATTTATGTAGCATTTTTAGTTGGTTTAAACTGGATGCTCCCCTGTTGCTTTCTCCATTCCTCTTGATTAATCCCAGGGGTGGGATTCTACCAGTTCACACCTATTCGCTAGAACCGGTTGTTAACATTCTAAGCAGTTCGGAGAACCGGTTGATAGAAGAAATTACTGGCCTAATCCTGTAAGGAAGGCAGGAAGGAAACATTCTGGTGTTGCTTACAGAAACTGCCTCTCCGTTAACCCTTATTACATTCTTGGCAGGACTAGACTTCCCGTCTCTGGAACGTCTCTGGAGTTTTTTTTCCCCTCCTTTGCTGGTACTTTGCTTGTGTGGAGTGACCATTCAAAGTTACAATGGCACTGAAAAAGGTGACTTATGACCATTTTTTGCACACTTACGACTATTGCAGCATCCCCACAGTCATGAGAGGCCAGGCGAGGAGATGCGTGCCTCGATGTGAGTGATATTGAGTTGGCCACGCCCAGCCAATAACATGACCACCAAGCCATGTCCACCCAGTCACATGACCACCAAGCCACGCCCACCACCTAAGCCACTCCCACAGAACTGGTTGTTAAAAAATTTGAATCCCACCCCTGATTAATTCTTTTCAAAATCTCTGTCCCCCAGGGGTTTTCTGCACCTGTCCTGCAGTCCTTTGGGGTGGGAGCTTGACTCACAGTCCTTGGGGTTGATCTAGATTTCTACCTGAATTCCAGACATCCTGGTTAGTTTGCATAGATGTGGATTTGTCTTCACAACCGTTTGGAACATGCTTAGTCAATACCAAACTCTCTTCTTCCTCCTACAGGCACATGTTAGTGGATCGGCTCAGCAAAGGAGAGGAAGTAAGTGTCTCTAGAAATTGTGCCATGTAACGGCAGTGTCCATGTCACACTGAAGATGCTTTTTTAAAGCATTTCCTACTCAGCTAAACAGGGAGAAGCTCAAATATATAAGCTTCACCGGAACTGGAACTGGAACTGGGTCTGTCTAGTCTAATGAAAAGAAAGACTAGGGGTGACATGATAGCATGTTCCAATATCTAAGGAGTTGCCACGGAGAAGGGGGGGGGTCAACCTATTCTCCAAAACAGCCAAAGGCTGGACAAGAAGTAACAGATGGAAACTTATCAAGGAGAGATCCTGCCTAGAACTAAAGAGAAATTTCCTGCCAGTGAGAACAATTAATCAGTGGAACAGCTTGCCTTCAAAAGGTATGGGTGCTCCATCATTGAAGGTTTTTTAAGAGATTGGACAGCCATTTTGTCTGAAGTGGTGTAGGATCTCCTGCTTGAGCGGACGGCTGGATTTGAAGACCTCCAAGGTCCCTTCCAACTCTGTTATTCTGAATCTGAAATCTGCACCTGAAGTTAACAGGAGTACACAATATTTAAATTCTGGACTGAGAAAGTTGAATCTAAGAACCTCATTAGATCTTAACCAAAAATCTACCAATCGTGCCCAACCTTTAGGAAGTTCCCAAGCAGATCTCAGCAGCAGTAGCTCTCCTCCCATTCAGGAAGGATTTAGACAGCCATGTGTTTAAAATGTTTTGCTTTGGATTCCTGAAGTTGAGCAAACCATTGGTCTTGAGGGCCTAAAGCAGGGGACTTCAAACTTGACAGCTTTTAAGACTTGTGGACTTCAACTCCCAGAATTCCTCCTCCAGTCATGTTAGCTGGGGAATTCTGGGAGTTGAAGTCCACAAGTCTTAAACTTGCCATGTTTGAAGACCCTTGGCCTAAAGGGCCACTCTGAACCTCTGGGCTTTGATGCACCCATAATGTTAACGATCTCCAGCAAGCAATATCTCATGTTATATCATGCTTGTGTACATCCCAAACCAGATTATCCGCCTCCACACACCCCTGCCCTTCTCCTTGCGTGTGAGCATATCTCAGCTTACTAAACAGGGCGCACACCGAGTGTCTGTGTGATTTCATGCCACAGCCAGGCTTGTGGTCCCTTCTGTTCCAGTCTTGCAAGTAGGATTAGGGGGCAGAGAGAGAGAAAAAACAAACTGCCTCTGGCACAAGTGTCACAGTAGGCTTGGCTTGTCCATCTGTGCCCTCTCTAATTTTGCCTTCTGCTACAGTCACGCTGGGTTTTTTTATTTTTATGAGACATTTAACACTTCCCTCCCTGCCCACTCCTTTGCTGCGATTATACTGAGATACACAAGATTGAGCAAGCGAATGTTCCAAAGCAGCCTCCTCTGACCTCGTGACCTCTGGGTACATTTACAATATGGCCCTCATAAGTACCAGCTAGGGTGCCCCAGGCCGTTCATAGCTTAATTTAGAAGGGCACCAAGTTCAGGAAAGTGGCTTAATCTTGCTCCCAAGAAATTGTGAAATCCTGGAAGAATTCTATTTCTATAAATCTATATTTTTCATAGGTCAGAACTTGGCCACCTACTATCAGCAAGGAATTCAGTGGATACCCTGAGCCAATGTAACGTTCAGCCATATAGGGATTTGGGGATGATTTAATCATGAGTTTTCGTAACACACCTTGCCTCATCCTCATAACTTTTAGCCAATGATTTGGGCACTCATAAAATTAGAGAGCCGGAAAGAGCAATTTCCGCACGTCCATCAAATGGCAGTCTGCCATCTTCTTAAATAATCAGTTCCTCTGTTGATCCATCTTTTGTGCAGTACCAAGGGCAGGGCAGTAGAAGACTAAGATCTTTAAAAGGGATGAATAGCGAGCCACTTGCATTGGGATTGGTGGGAGTGGCTGCCAGATCCCCAGATCACTGCTCTGCCAAAATTCAGGAAGCCCTCGTTTGACTACAGGTTGTCCTTGACTTACAGCGGTTCGTGTTAGTGTTTGGGGATAAACCCCTAGCAGAGTATGCAGCAGCAGTCAAGCCAGGCAGCCAAATGAGAGAGGAAGGGTTTTAGAGTATACACACACTGAACACAAACACTGTTTGTAGTTTAAATAGTTTTTAATCCAGTTAGAGTTTAAGCATTGTCAATCAGTCCGTATGTCATTCACAATATATCCATTCAGTAAGACTCACTAACTCAGTCCAGATAATAGTCCTTACTATATCTTTATCAGCCGATAAAGATATCTTCTCCTCCTCCGATGCCTTTCTCCAGAGGATAATGCTGGATATTCAGTAGAACGATCAAACAGTAGACAGTCGCAGTAAAACAGTAGTAAACAGTTGTATCCAGCAGTAAACAGCAGTAAACAGTAAATAGCAAACGGTAAACAGTAAAACAGTAGGCAGTAGGCAATAGGCAGTAAGCAGTAAGCTTTCTCCTGCTTCCTCTTATTGCAGTTTCTAACCGCACCCTTAATTGGCTAATTACATGCAGTGTGGTGCTTAAAGTTACAAACACTTAAACTATGATACCTTAGTTTATATATTTATCCACCCAAACCTTGTTGGGTATCAATGTTATACCTAACAGTTCGTTTAGTGACCGTTCGCTAAAGTTAGAAAGGATACTGAAAAAAAGTGACTTGCGATAGTTTTTTCACACTTATGACCATTGCAGCATCCCCATGGTCACCTGATCAAACTCCAGATGCGTGGCCACTGGCATGTATCTATGACGGTTGCAGTGTCCCGGGGTCCTGTCACCCCCTTTTGTGCCCTTCTGACAAGCCAAAGCAATGGGGAAGCTGAATTCACTTCACAACAATATTATTAACATAACAACTGCAATGATTCACTTACTAACTGTGGCAGGAAAGGTTGTAAAATGGAAGAAAACACATTTAACATCTGTGTCGCTTAGCAACGGAAATTTTGGGCTCAGTTGTGGTCATAAGTCGAGGACCACCTGCTTATGGAAATTGACCTCTCTTTTGTTCCTCTTGTTTTGCCTCTAGATTTTCTTTTTCTGCTTCGATTTTCTGAAGCACATAACCTCTGAGGAGTTTTCTGCCGCGAAGCAGCTGAGGTAAGAACTTGTGTTTGCAAACTGCCACCCTCGGAGGTAGGAAAGAAGAACAGAGAATGTTATCATTGCGCACGTTTCCTTTCTGCTGGAAAAATAGAAACCCTGGTGTCCTGGCCCAGTTAATTTTAATTGATTTTGCATTCAGAAACCCACAAAAATGGGGCCATACCGTTTGCTCTAGAACTATTCCTGGAAGTCCTACATTGGGGGGGGGGGGGGGGGGGGGGCATGACTTGAGTTCAGTTAATCTATCGGCTGAGTTTAGTATAGCAATCCCTGTTCAGTGACCCTGCCTGCAGTTAGGCAGTCTGGTCTCAAAGCTTTAGAATTACTCAGACGGATCACACCAAGGGCCTATTTAATTCAGGATTTCATCCTTCAGATAGCTCATAAGCAAGATACCCTCTCGTGTCCAGAACCTAGTCGTGGCCCTTGACCCCCGAGGTTCCATTTTGGGCTGGTATGCTATTGGCCTACAATGCAAGAGGAGGCACACATTTTAGACTATGCATGGCATAATCCCCAGCTAGCACATCATTGCTTGGAAACTGGGGGAGTTATAGTTGAAAGTGTTTCAAAATAGTAGGTTGCGTGGCCTAGTTTGGTCTAATGGTTAAGCACTAGGCTAGAAACCAGAAGACTGTGAGTTCTAATCCCCACCTTAGACGTAAAAGGCAGCTGGGTGACTTTGGGCCACTCATTGTCTGTTAGCCCAACTCGCCTCACAGGGTTGTTGCGGGGGGAGGGGGGGGAGGGAATAGGAGGAGAAAGAGTTATTAATATGTTCACTGCTCTAAGTTATTTATAAAAATACTAAAGGCAGAATTTTTAAAAAAATCTAAAAATAATGTTAGCCATTTCAAAAGATGAATTGGACTTAGTTTGGGATAAAAGTTACCTCATTTTTGTCAGGGTATGTGAGAATGGCCTTGGGAGATGAGAAAGTGCTACAGCCCGCAAGGTATAAAAGGCAGCTTGGCCTGGATTGTGGGGATGGCAAAAGTCTCAGAAATGACCTGCTTAGTTTCTTAGGCTCTAAAGGCGATGGGGGAGAGGTGTTCTTTCAGACTTGTAAGATCCTGTTAATGTAACCTGACAGTAAAGTAAGAATTAGTTCATCTGGGTGTGTTTCCAGTGTAAATTACCTCTCAAAGTATGTTTCTCCCCCATCACCTTTAATGCCCAAGAAACTAGGGTGAGTCCTTCATCTTTTGCCACCCCCCTCATTCCTCTGTGGACCAAGCTGCTTTTTATACCTCAGTTCCCCTGGCTGTGGCACACAGCCCCGCACTCCCTTCCAAGGTCATCCCTCCATACACATTACACATTGACTGTTGTCTCTTTAAAATTTGAAGAACCGAAAAAGAACCCATCATTCATATGCGCTCTCTCTCTCTCTTCACTTCTTTCTGTGCTAATTGGCTTAGCCAAATCATTTTTTCATCACCTTGTGCTTAATCAAAATAGGAAGTAAAGCATTGCTTCTATCTGCAATAGACTAAGTTAAAGTGGGGTTAGGTAGTTTGTGGTTCTTGTGTGTCTTGTGGAAATCCGGTTTTGTTTTAATGCACTGGGTAAACTGGCTCATCCTATTAAACCATAACATGGTTGCTTGCTCGTTTGTTAGGATAGAACACAGAAATCCAAATTTGGCATGTGGTGTAAACCCATCCATGAAATTATTTGTGTGACGGAGAGAAAGTTGGTTCCTCATCCTCTGAGCCATAGTTCAGAAGATCATGTGACTGCAACTGTTCTGAGCTGGATTTGTTCTGTTATTTCAGGATATGGATCTGGTGGGTTCTTGGTGCTTTCTGAGCTTGGTTGTTTTTTAATTGCAAATGCTTCGTTACTCAACTAACTAACAACATCAGTGCAACCTTCATAACCCAGCAAAGCCCCCATCTTCCTTACACTGATGCTACTTAGCTGAGTAATAAAAAAAATATCTGTAAGATATAAAGCAAGCTCTGAGAGCCCCGGGAAGCCAACGGTTCAACCCTGCACAGCATATGTTATCTGCTGTAGTATGTGGAACTGTTTGAGTATGCCCTTCCCATTTCCTAACATTTTTCTTTCTGTCCCAGAAGGAAGAGTCTGCCCCCTGGATTCACTCTGGAAGAAATCTGTATGCTAAGTGAGTCTCTCTTTCTATCTTTACACAAGGCTTTTAATCTGAGCTAGGGCTCTCGTTTTCTCAGCTTTTGAGATGGTAACTCTTGACCCTTCTGAAGGATTTAGGAAAGCCATGAAGGACACATGGAATTGGTAAAGTCAGCTGGGCACATTTTGGTCCATCAAAATCTAGAGAAGGTGGCTGCTAGCAGATAGTACAGAATAGAAAGATAAAAAGCAGAACCTACCACACAATATCCCAGTAGGGAAAGGCACCTCTTTGGTTTCCCCACAGACCTTCCTGTATCCTCCCAGATATTTGTGTCCTTCCAGATGATCCTCTCAACAGCCAGTTTCCTGTGGCCTCTGAGCATACTCAGCCTGAAGTGTGCTCTATGGGGTATAGTTTTGTGGAGACTTCTATTGTTGATTTTTCTGTACATGGGTGTGAGATTTTGGCTAGATAACACTGATACGTTTCTGTGAACTTCCAAAAAATTTAAGAAAGATAACATAGTCACATTTTCAATAGGGATCTCAATGATAGTCTGTTTCAGCGTAGCGTCATCTTTACACCTTGAAGGATTAACATGTTTGTTGATTCTCTGAGGAATAGTGAGCTTTTAAATCCCCAGTCTCTTATTATTTTGTCTGGAATGTGTTGTGCTGCTACAAAATGTGACAACCACCTAGTCTGAGTTCCCAAAGACTACCATAGTCTGTAGAGATTCTCCGTCATCCCAGGTCATGGTTGTCCCAAAGGTGCTTTTTCAGGAGGCAACTGGGCCTCCTTTCTTTTTCTTTTGAAGGCTATTCGCTTCTCATCCAAGAAGCTTCTTCAGCTCCGACAGGATAGATATTTCTTGCAGACAGCTGGTAATTTGCATCCATTTTTTAGAGGGTCATTGAGGCACTTGGAGGTTTATCTGTGTCCTCAGGGTCACCTGAGTAGTGCTCCTGGTTCCTCTGGTCTGCAATTTTTCCTCTGGAAATCCATTCCTACTGCCACACCATTCAAAGGGTGCTCATCCCAAATTGTATAGCTAAAAGTCTGTGGAGATTCTTAGTCATCCAGGTCATGGTTGTCCCAAAGGTGCTTTTTCAGGAGGCAACTGGGCTTTCTGGTTTTTTTTCTTTTGAAGACTACCATAGTTCCCCACACACACCATTGTCCCATATCTGTCCCTTTGAAGACACGTGAAGATAATGACTCTGGAAAACTGCAGAAGCCAGACCGGTGACTTCCAATGAGAGGGGAATGGGATAATAAGTCAGGGTGCCTTCCAGTATCTCAGAAACATTGATACAAAATAAGAGCAATAATGTCAATGTGCCTCTTCTGTCCAGAATGTATTTCTTGAACAGTTTTTGTTGTGCAGGATGGAGAGTTGTGACTGCCTTCTGGCCGCTAGCTTTTTCAACTCATGCTTCTATTTCTAGCTGTCTCTGGAAGGGGAAGAAGAAGGATAAAGAGGCAGAAGGCTGCTGGTCTTAGCATAGACTCTTCCCAACCAGCCACCTTGGTCTTGCCATCTCCAGCCAGCACCAGTTGGCAAATCCTGTCCCGCTGAACATGACACGATCTCTTCTCTGGAGAAGCTCAGTTCCGCAGATGGCACTGCTCAATTTTGAAACACATCACTTAGCTATCATCTTGACTATCTCCCAACCAGCAATTAAAATAAATAGCGTAGGAGTCCTTTTAATTCTGCTTTCTTTCTCTAAAAAAGAGTCTATTTCTGGACAATCCAAATTTAGGATATTGTATACTCTGACAAGAAAAGCCAATTGCTATACACACAAAATAGCCATAACTTGGTCATGAATATTCTAATAGATACAGGGACATGAATTATGCAAAACACATTAAGTTTCCATTTATGCTGTTGAAATCTTACATTTACCTTCCCCCCCCTTGCCAAAAACCCCTACAACTGATATTTTTTTTTAGGATAATTGCCCACCTACCCTTCAAGCTTCTGAAGTTTAAATCCAGGTTTGTTTTTTTGTTTTTTTAAATATACAGTGGAGGATTAAGGTGTTTTTTTAAAAAAACACCTTAATCTCCATTGTACATTTTTGTACTCACTTATGTACTTTCATGTGAAATACAGTGAAATAACTGTTGTATAGAGGGGATAGAACAGGCTCGGTTACAGCCAATCATAGATGTACTGTGTGTAAAAAAAAAATGCACTTAACACTTGGTATCTGGTGAAATACAGGTAGTCCTTGCTTAACAACCACTTGTTCAGGCACCATTCAAAGTGATGATGGTATTAAATGAGTGGGATTTAATAACTGCTTGGGTTTTTTTTTTTTATTTAGCAGGTTGTATGACTCCAGCAAGTTTCGTTTTATTCCAGTAAACTTCCTTAAACAAGACATGATTTACTGTGATCTGTGATCTTGTAAAAGCATTTTGTTGCTGCTGTTGGTGTTGAGCCAGAATACAGTCCTCGACTTACAACAGTTCATTTAGTGACCATTCAAAGTTACAATGTCACTGAAGAAAAAGTGACTTATGACCAGTTTTCACACTTACGACCCTTGCAGCATTCTCATGGTCATGTGATTTAATTTTGGACGCTTGGCAGTTGGTTCACATGTCAGCATTCCAGAAAACCTCCAATTCCGAGACAGACATCCTCTCCAAGGCTCCTTTTATTAGAGTAGTAAACCGGCACATGTGGGAAACCCCGAATCTGAAAGTTCCGGGTTTCCTTGCAATAAGTAAAAAATTACAAATCCACCCCCTGCGCCCCTCATGGCATCACATGTCATCACCCTCATGGCATCACATGCCCACTATCCATCTCAACTTGAGAGTCCCCTCAACCAGGTGCAGAAATAACATGACCTTGACTTGGAAAAAGAATGCTATTATGTCTAACCACATCCACACAAAGAAATTCCCCTCTCCCATTTTCTCAGGCTCAAGAATGTGTCGGTGTGGAAGCATCTGGTGCTAATATGGCTTCCAAAGCTGATATCACATTTATGTCATTTGCAGTGTCCCAAGGTCATGTGATCTTCCGTGACCCTTCTGAAAGACGAAAGACCATGGGGAAGCCAGATTCACTTAACAACCGGGTTACTAATTTAACGACTGCAGTGATTCGCTTAACAAATGTGGCAAGCAAAGTCGTAAAATGGGGCAAAACTCAATTAACAAATTTCTCATCTGGCAACATACATTTTGGGCTCATTTGTGATCGTAAGTCGAGGACTACCTGTATTTTGGCGATCTATTTCCAGATATCCACCTGCAGAACTTGAACCATCTCTAGTCTGCAGTATGAGCAGTTTCTGTGTGTGGTCTATGAATCCGTGCCTGGCTTTTCTCTTTGGAAATGTGTTTAATGAGGGCCTTAGGGCACCACCATTCTCCAGGAGGGTGTGGAAAGGATCAGTTCATTCCTACTCCGGATGCTTTTGTGTGTTACAGAGCAGAGGGACCGGGGCAGCACCACCAGTCTGAGCAGTGACTTTTCTCTTATGATGGAGAATTCACCTGGAGCTGCAGGGAGTTTCACTTACGACGCTGTGGAGTTGATGCTAACAGGACCTCAAGCTTCTTGGTCAGCACCTATATACAAACTTTCTACTGGGGGAAATCTGTATGTTCTGAAGACGAACGGCTCTATACTTTGACCAGGAAAGCAGAATGACGAACATCCGGGAAGCTTTTCAGCAGCCTAATTTAGGAAAAGGAAGTGGAAAGAGAGAACACTTTCAGTTGCTTCCCCCGTGTGGGTGTTGCTGCTAAAAAAACAACATTGTACAAATCTCTACATTATTACGTATCTTTATAATGACCACTTTTCATTATGTGTAGGTGAATTATTAATTTAGTGGCATAATCCCTGGTGGCGCAGTGGTTAGGATGCAGTATTGCAGGTTAACTCTGCCCATAGTTTGGAGTTCGATCCTGACGGGCTCGTGGTTGACTCCGCCTTCCATCCTTCTGAGGTCAGTAAAATAGGACCCAGATTGTTGGGGGCAACAACGTGTTGACACTGTGAAGCGTTCAAAGAGTGATGTAAATACTAAGGGGTAGTGTATAAGTCTAAGTGCTATGGTTAAGTTGCTTCCACACAGTGAAGGGCAGGCCAGATATGGCTCTGAAGCATCTCTTCCTACAGTCTGATCCAGGCATAATAGATGAAAATTGCTAGCATGGGTTTGTGCTATTTTGTGAGAGCAAATCATTGAAAGTGTTGCGTTAAGTTGGTGAAATAATCTTTCCATATGAGGAAAGAGATTCCGAATCTCTTTCCAAAACCATCTTCAGGCTTGGCTCATTTTGCATCATTGCTTGGTTTATTGGGCTCTTCCAAAATGTTAAGAATGGCTGCCGGCCACCCAAAAAGAAGTCCATTCACAATCTAATCAATCCTTCGATGCTCGGAGGCACCCTTCTGTTTTCACCAAGAAGGCTCCTGTTTACATGATCCCAATCCTTCCTTCAAGGCAGGGGAGACCTTTGGGGCTGAAAATGGTTTTCCCCTCACCCCCCTCCAAAGTTCATTTGATAGTCTTGCAGTCAAGTCTGTGGCATGGCCAGGCGCAGAGACTCCCCGCTGTCCTTGGCGAATGGATGCCAGGGAAGGTAATCGGTGCTGAGCTTGAAGTTCTCACAGCCACAGTGAAGCAGCTTCCCAATGTTTCTGGGCCAGAAGTACTTCTTCCATCTGCCAATATTTGCCTAGGCCTAATGTCCAGGACAACTGCACAATGTTGCGTCGTATACCTGGCTGAAATACATGTCTTTTGCCGGTTCCATTGGAGGGTTCTGTTCTCTCCCCTTCCTTTGGCTTGACTTTGGAAACCTTAGAGAAGATCCGAGGAGCCTGCTAGTCCTCTCCCACGTGACAGGCAGGAGCAGAGAGGCTGGGGATTCCAGGACCTTGCTGCAGGCTTTCCCTGTTCCCTGTTTTAATTTTTCTTTCTTCTCCCCAAGCATGTGTGCTAATGATATTTTACCGTGCAATTATTCTGAGCTAAATCTGGGCTTCACTGAGAAGCCAGTGGAAGTCCTCCGGGTAGCCGTAAATTCTCAGCTTGCTGTGGTCACGCTTTGCCTCTTGAAGCGCATAAAGTATGTGTCTGTGGGGGAGAAATCTAAATCTGTTCCTGGCAGGGGCGTTCTAGAAAGGGCTGCCCTTGCTACCAGCCTGTCCCTGTACCCTATAGATGCTATAGGCAGATAGAAGTAAGAGCTGATGGTGAAAACCGAACCAACAGGAAGGCAGGCAGGCAGGCAAACCATTCAAAGCTGAACATGGCTGTTCTGTGGTGGGCTGCAGGACTGAGCAAAAGAATGGATATTCCATAACCAGAACAACAAATTATTTTACCAAAGTACATAATGAGATGAGCTTGTCTAAAGTGGCTGCTTTAAGCCTTTGAATCTTGGGAAACCTGGTTCAGATAAGCAGGTCAACACAGAAACCCTTATTTTAGACTGTCTTTCAAATACTGTCTGAATTACTTCAGAGAGGACATCTGCAATACTCTTCAGTGGCATGCCTTATTTTTCCATAGATTCCTTGTTTATTTCACCCTATTTCTAGCATATGCAGAGTGTCCCGTAAAGGAAGGATTTGCTGGTGAGAAGCTGAAATAAGTCAATTTTCTAAGAATATCGAAGAAACAAGTTTAAAATGAGGAAAAGTTTAGGGATTATCATGAGATAGGCCTGAGGTTTAAAATTGATTTAAAAAAAACATCCTTATTTGTCAACCGAAAAGGGCATTTTTGAATAGAGTTATTTTTATTTTGTATGTTTCCCCCACCTTTAAAATAAGAGCGCTGGAATCAAATTCTTAAAACGAAATCAGAGCAGTTTTTTTGAGGGTGGAAACTGAGGTAAAGGTCACCGTCTTCAATTCAAAATGAAGCCGTCACTTCACAATGATTTAAGTACTTGCGCTGTCTGTCTTGTGTTGCGAGTTGTCATGAAATTAAGGGGGGAAATATCTTAAAGTTGGGCTCGAGCGACGATGTCGGCTTGAGTGAGGTGACACAAACTGTTGGGAAGAAAAAGGAAACCACCTGTATGCAAAGAGGCCCATTTTTAAAAGGTATTCCGGGTCTTTCTCCCTCAGCGTCCCTTCTAACCAGAACTGGGATGGCTGCCCAAATCGGAAGAGGGGGGGAAACTGTTCAGTTTGGAACAGACTTTCCTTTTAATAGCATCCCATCTCTGGCGGCTTGCTTAAGTGCCAGTAGCTGAGCTACTAAGCACTTCATTAAATCTCAGCCTTGTACCTGCCACAGTCACAAGGAAGATGGGGAGGTGAGGGAGCAAGAGTTTTTTGAACACTTGGGGCTGCTGTCGTGTGTTAGAGAAAGAATGGCTGAGGGTTTTCCGAGGAAATCCTGGGGATTGGGGAGAGTCCTTATTAACATACACAGCCACTGGTAATAAATAAGCCAGGCTTCTGATAATTACTTAGCAAGCATTGGGGAACTCAGAGATGGCTGGATGGGGAGCGGAGGAGAAAGGAAGGCAAACAAATGTGGACCTTGTTAAGGAGGCTGTGGCAGGTTCACATCCCTTGAGCATCAAAAGCTGATTAGTACAGTTGAAAAACCACAGCACTTCCTTGGTTGCAAGGCTAGTTGAATTGTGTGTGGCTTTGCTAGTCCCGAAATGGAGAGAAATCCCTGAAGTTGTTTCAGTAATTAGAACCTCTGGAAGGAAGCTGACCCTGTGGAATGGATACAGCCCATTCCCAGGTCGGTCTAAGCCAGGGTTATCAAACTCGCATCGTCACGTGATGTATCGGGACTTTCCCCCCCTTTGCTAAACTAGGTGTGGGCATGGCCAAGCATGTGACACATCTGGCCCATGGGCCAGGAGTTTGACAGCCCTGGTCTAAGCCATTGTTGTGGTTCGCTGGCAACCTGTGCAGACAGTAGCGGAATCGGACAGTGGGGAAGTACGGGGACCAGTCCGGGAGTCTGGGGAGGACTCGGACGAGGGTCCTGCGTCCAATGCAGAGATGGGGCCAGGACCATCTGGGAGTTATGTACTGACTCTGGAGCCTCCAAGTCTGGCAGCAGCGAGGCAGAGGAACCAGGGGAGCCTGTTCCCAGTGCGTGTGTGTGCAGAGCTGCTAGAAGGCAAGAGCAGCCTGAGACAAAAGGGGTGACTCGCGGGAGTAAGGCTTGGAGGTGATTGCCCCTCCCCTAAGGGTTAAAGGAGGTGCAAAGGTAGAGAAACCTTTGCAGGAAGCAAAGTCGTTCGTTCTGTTCAGATTAAACCTTGAAGTTCTTTGTGGACTTTGTACTTCGGTTGGTTTTTTTTTTCAGTTAATTTGGCACTTTAGTTGTTGGCAGCAATTCAAAGGAGATGAAGGTGGGTGCTTATCTCAAGGGACTGTTTGGGACTTATTACGGGCTGGGAATGCAGATAATTCCCAGTGTTGAAATAAAAGGAGTTATTTTGACTAAACGTGTGCTTAATTACGGTCTCAGGAAGCCTTGGTCAGAACAGCCATATAAAGGTTGTTCCCTTTTATCTGTCTCTCATGCTAATGAATAACTAATCAGGTCTTTCTAAAAACACGTACAGGTAGTCCTCGACTTACAAGAATTCACTTAGGGACCGTTCAAAGTTACAACAGCACTGAAACAAGTGACTTATGTTCATAAGTTCACACTTATGACCCTTGTAGCATCCCCGTGGCCACATGATTTACATTTGGTTACTTGACAACTGACTCACCTTTATGACAGTTGCAATATCCTGGGGTCATGTGATATCCTTTTACAACCTTCTGACAGGCAAAGTCAATGGGGAAACCAGATTCACTTAACAACCACATTATCAGTTTAACAACTGCAGTGATTCACTTAACGAATGTGGCAAGAAAAGTCATAAAACAAAGCGAACCTCATTTAACAAATTTCTCACTGAGCAATGTAAATTTTGGACTCAACTGTGGTCGTAAATTGGGGACTACCTGTGTTGATTTATCAAATTTGTTCACGTACTCTTACCTCTTTCCAAAATTGGAGATTTTTTGAAGGACCTTCCATCAGTTTGTGTAATAGAGAGGAAAGACAGGCAGAAAGAAACTTCTGGATACAGCACTGAGGAGTTTAAATCACAAAGGTGACAAATTACAGAAGAGGCCATGCAGATGTAGAGGGTATGGAGATGTTTCCTGTGGATATTCAGGAAACTCAACTCTGTCAAATGCTGGGTTAGTGAATCAACTTGCATGACTTGCTAGACTTTGCCAGGAAGTATGAACTATGAATTCCAATAATGGAAGAAGCTAGTTCTCTTGGGAGCCTGTTAAGTGTGCAAGTGTTTGAAAACTTATGCAGGTCTCTAAACCGTTGGTGGAACATCAAAGGTAATACTGTGAATGACAAAATCTGCTGTTGCCCCATTTGTGAGGTAACTTAGAGAAATGTGTACCTGAGGCTTGACTTTCCCAGTTGTAATATGGAGACTGTCCTAATATGAAACCTGAATATTGAACCAAAGCATGGTAGGAATACTGCGTCAGACAGTTACATCTTTATTTTGGAGGCCTTTGGAAGCTATGAATCCGTGGTGGTGTTCTACCGGTTTGGCCCGGTTCTGCCGAGCCAGTACAGCGATGAGCAGCGGAGACCGAACCAGTAAAAATATTTGAATCCCACCGCTGTTATGAATAATTTTTTAGTTCCTAATTGCGATTTGTATGTTAAGATCCTCCTTTGAGTTATTCTATTGCTGGCAGATCTTTAATTATTAGATTGGCTGACTGTTTTTCTATGCTGGATGTTTAAATCAGGTTAGCAACTTTAACTTCATGGCTTCTAGTCTATTACTAAATTTCAGGGGCAAAAATTCCCTTAACATTGATTCATTTGGAAATAATTCCGAAGTCCGGAGAAATAACACCTTAACTTTATAAGTTTATAAAACGGATAAGGCGCGCCTAGGAACTCCACTGGTTATAAAGGCAAGAGTCAGTACCCATCTGAGTAAAAGTTCCCCCGATGGATTAGACATCAAATAAATAACATTGTGCCTTCGCAGGAGGAAAAACTGTGCATCGTCCCCTCAGGCGGTCCTGTGGAATCGGACACCACAACCCGAAGACAGGTTGCCCATCCAGAGCACGCTTGACGCAAGATCCTCCAGCTCCTCTTCTTCCAATCATTCAGAGAACTTCTCAAGACTAGGCAGCAGTCCGCTTGAAGTCCCTAAGACCAGGTGAGAGGCCGTTCATTCCTGCCGGTTATTGGGAAAGGGAGGGTGATGCTTGGGCGTTGCTAGCAAGCACAGGTTTGAGCAGGGCTCCTCCTGGGAGCAGAGGAAATCCCTGATCCCTATTGAAAATGTTTTTTTTTCCCTGTGTTTGGAAGAAATCCAGTCAGGTACACGCATACAAACGGTTTGCAGAGAATCTTCTGGAAGCGCCTAACTTTCTAGAAAAAGCAGCATGAGCTTTTTTTTTGCCTCCCGCAATAGAAAAGTATAATTACAGTAGCAATTTGCTGCTTTTCAGCTACACTTGGCTTCTGCCACCTGAGAGGCTTGTTTTTGCTGCCATAAATAGGGACTTGGCTGACACAGGGAAAGCGAAGGTAAGGCTCTAAATTTAATGGTTGGCATCCAGAGTCTGGAGATTTGGAGAGTGTCGCCATATCAGAGGAGCAAAGAGCCGTAATGAACTGAATCTGGGACAGCTAGAAGATTCAGCTCGGTTCTTTCCTGGTTCTGATGATTTCATGTCTGCAATTTATAGGCTTGTGTCCATGGCTTTCTAGTTGAAAAAAATAGTCATCACAATGAAACAACGCTGAGATTTTTAGGATGCAGTGTTCCATATCCAGATTTCAAGGACCATGGGGGAAATGGACATGGAGCCTTACTGTAAATACAGAGCCTGTAGAAAGGTAGCGTGTGTGTATATGAGGTCCTTCTTAGACCCTTAAGAAGGATGCACTTAGTGAATTTATATAATGGGAGAAGACACGTACAAGTGGAAATGACTCGCTAGAATTGCAATTGAAAGCCTGATAGGAAGGGAAAGAATGCCCCACTCATCTAGGCGGATGCAGTTCAACAGCACAAGCCTAGTTTGACTATAACACGGGTAAAATTGAAATGAAAATTTGACGAGGATTTTGCCTTTTTGGACAGGTAAGTCTTCTGCTGCAATTCACAGTCTTCAACCTATCAAAGATGCATTTAAAATACTGAAGCCGAGTCCAGTTTTGTCAAGGGAGAAGCCAAAATTACAGGATTTGCTGTATTTGTAATAGACTTCGATCATAGGCAAAAATGACAGTGGGGCAAGCCAAAATGAAAAGCTGCTCAGGTTGTTTTCATTTGAAAAGAAAGATTTTGGGGGACATCCTAAGCAGGATTTTCTTCTTAAAACTAACTCCATGTCTAGGGGCCTATTGAACTACAGAAATGTGTCCCAGACTCCCCCCCCCCCCCAAAAAAAAAAAAAAATTAGATATGCATTTGGCTGGTTTGGATTCAAATGTTCAAACGTTGTGTCCTGTTTTATGCGTCACAGTTTGGTATTAAGGTTTTTACTTTAGCTTGGCTTGTTTATTTGCCTAGAAGCCTGGTGTAATATTAAGTGTAATAAATACTTAAATAAACACTGAATGCTCTCAGATCCTTTATTTAAAAAAAACAAACTTTATTCTGCTTTCCAAGAGGAAAACCTATGCCTGGATGTTTGTATTCCACTAGTTACTGTTGAATAGGATGCGCGAGGAGGTGTGGGGAGTCGGCTTGAGAGGCAAGCCTGTTTCTAAAGTATAAATCAATGTTTCTAGACCGTGGCCACTTGAAGATGTGTGGACTTCCAACTCCCAGAATTCTGGGAGGCTGGGGAATTTGGGGAGTTGAAGTCAGCTGTGAAAAAGGAGGAAAGAAAAACCTGTCTGGCTTTGATACCATCTCCCACCAGAAAGTCTCTTCCGTTCCACGGGCAGAGTGGCGGATTAGACATGGCTGTCAGTTTCTGAAGGCTGGAGTGATGTTTAATTGAAGCCAAAGAACCATATTGGTCGTTAAGCTGGCAGGCATATGCATTCCTGCGCTCCGGTTGCCCGAAGCCATGAACGAGTGAAATTAAAAGGCATCACTCAGTACTGCCCTGTTTGGGAGTTGTCTGGTTTCCTACAGGAATTGCAGCAAAGGATGGAAGGAATTGAAGACTGGGAAGGCTGGTGGGTCGTTCCTATTTGGGTCTTCCGTTCAAACTGCAGTGTGAAAAGAAATGCTTAAAAATAAATAAATAAATGCAGACTGTCCTCAACTTGCCATCATAATTGAGCCTGTCAGTTAACAGTTGTGCCTTGACGGTCATAAAGTAGGTCACTCATGTGACCCATCCGATTTCATCACCTTTGGGTGGTGTTTGTTAAGTAAAGTAAATGCTTTTTGCAAAAACGAAATAAATAAGTCGTGGGATCACAGGACGCTGCAAACAGCCATAAATGTAGACTGATTGCCAAGAATTTGAAATGCAACCACGCGATTGCTGGTGGTGGTGGGTGGACGGGGTGTCATAACTACAGAACCAGTTAATAAGTACCTTTGGGGGGGGGGGCAGGTAGGGGAGAACATCATAACTTCCGGTGGTCATTAAGTGACCAGTTGTAAATGGAGGACTGCCTGTAACAACTAGCCTGCTACCCTACCTAATCAATGTGGCCCATGGTAGAAAAATAAAATGAGGCGTAATAGCTTACGTATCCACAAATATACGGCTGATTTAATGTGTGTCTTGGCGGCATGAAGACTTTTTGTACTGTGTGGAGCTGTCCGTGGTATTTTTTTCCCCTCCTGCATTGCGATGTAACTTTGTGGATTATTATTTTTTTAATTTTTTTTTAGAAGTAAGATCTAAAGCAGGGGTGTCAAACTATTTCATTGAGGGCTGCATCAGGGTTGTGTTTGACCTGGGGGGGGGCAGGGGGAGGTGTGGCCAGCTTGACATCACTTGCGTAGGGGGCCCCTGTGGTGGCATGAGTACTCTGCCAGCGAAAACGGGCTCCCGGGCTCCGTTTTTGGCTGCGACGGCAACCCTCTGTTGGAGGACATGGAAAACACGGCCCTCCCGAGCTCCATTTTCGCTGGGAGAGCCAACATGGGCCTGTCCTTCGCTGTTTTCAAGACGGCCCCGCAGGCCAGATTTAAGCACCCTGCAGGCCACATCCACCCTGGCCTCGAGTTTGACACCCCGATCTAAAGTGACCTTGCACTTTTTGTGGCCAGTCTGGATGGTTTTTTTTTAAATTTTATTTTGCGTGTTGTTCGCCATGCTGTACAAGCTGCTTGACTCTAAAGCCAGCTTAAATTCTGTACTAGTAATATTCTTCAAAGAGCAAAGAGGATGCCCAGGAGGGGGTTTGCAATCAGCAGGATTAATGATGTTTAAGACTCACACAAGTGGTTAGCAAATTGTTCATGCTGCATCCCCCCCAAAAAGGGGGGGGAAATCCACTGGCAGTTTTGTGATAATTTTGAGAATACAGACCACAGTTGAGCCCAACATTTCTATTACTAAACGAGACAGTTAAATGAGTTTTGCCTTTGCCCCATTTTACAACCTCCCCCCCCCCCCCAGTTAAGTGACTCACTGCAGTTGTTAAGTTAATAAAACAGTTGTAAAGTGAAGTGAATCTGGCTTCCCCATTGACTTTGCTTGTCAGCCGATCGTAAAAGGACACTGCCCCTGTCATAAATATGAACCAGTTGCCAAGCACCCGAATTTTGATCATGGGACCATTGGGGTTGCTGCAAACAGTCATAATTGTGAAAAATGACCACTTTTTTCAGTGTTGTTGTAATGTCAAGCGGTCACTAAATGAACTGTTGTAAGTTGAGGACTATCTGTACAGATAGTACTGTTCCAGAAGTTTGGAATGGACAGTTGGATAGAGTGCTGGTGTCTTCTTCAGAACCTCACAGTGTTGTATTTCATGCTTCTTATATTCATCTGTTCTTTAAATGAATTCATTCCAATCTGGAAGAAACCAAACGTTAGCTTGGTAAAAAAGAATTACACTCTGTAATTACATAAGTCACTGTGTTTCAGAACTGTTGTAACTTCAAGCAATCACTAAATGAACTTGTGGTGACCCAGGGTGGGATGCATTAGCAACAGAGTCACAAAAACAAGTGAAGTTCCTTTAATTCCTTCAACTTGGCTTCAAAGCTCCAATTATCATTGACTGGAGAAAAAAACTCGCCCACAAACAGTTGCGAAAAGGAAGAAATGCCGTTCAAACTCAAAATACATATAAATTATAAATAGAAAAAACAACACAAACCACACTGAAGCAATTAATGAGTCAAGGCAGGATAAGGGCTTGAAGACGTCCACAGATACCGAAATACTCACACTGGGAAGGACGCCGGGACTCAGATAAGAACTGACAAACTAGAATTATTTCATGCTTGCTTCCAGCCCTGTGCCATGCGCAGTTTGTCCTTTTAAACAGTCCTCACAGCTGCAACCCATGAAGGGGATCAGGGCCCTTTCCTCCCTCATAAACCACGCCATTCATGTTTCTCCCTTATCCGCTCCTCCCTGCATGCCCTAGGATGAAGAGGGGATGGGCCTGGGTCTTCCTCTGAATGCCCAGCTGGCCTGTGCCCCTTCCCCAGTTTCCTCCACAACCTCCAAAGCCATACTCCTCACTCCCTGTCAGCTGTTCCTCCTCTCCCTCAGAGTCAGATTCTAACAGGGGCATAAGAACTGTTGTAAGTCCTATATGAGCTTATTTTCAGTTTTCCGCCCTGGTTGTAAAAATTGTTTTCATCACCATTATAATTGTGAATGGTGACTAAGTGAGGCAGTCACTAACACAATCTACCTGTATACTTACTTCTTGCCCATCTCAAACCTGTAGCTGGAATGTTTAAGCTTCTGGACACTGAGTGCAAAGTCTGGGGCCTATGTTTACCTGCAGCCATTCTGAAGATGCCCAGTGTTTTTATATATTGCATTTACACCTTGCTCGAGGATTTCCTCTGATTTTGTCTCTACTTCAGCCTATGAGTTAGGCTGGGCTGAGGGAGAGTGAATGACTTATTATAGCACCCAGTTAAAATCCACAAATCAATGTGCATTTGAATCTGGGTCTTTCTGGAGTCGACATCTTAATCAATCTACTGTCAGGACTCCAACAAATCCACCCCCATTCAAATCATAAGTCTCTAGCTACATCTCAGAGAAA